TGTACCCTTCTGTAAAACTTAGAGTAAAGCTGATGCATAGCCAATAAGACGGGTGAATGGCTACATTCTGACACAAACTTTATAGACAGCATAAGCTATCGAGCAAGGGCCATTCCCTATATTTTAAGGTAGAACTCTGGTGGCAACTCCGTGGTACTAGATTTATGAGAATTTGTTGTCATAGTGAATGAATTGACTGGACAGTTACCTTGTGATCATTTGCTCCTGTGAAGCGATGGCTCTATCATGTGACCCACGTCGTCAAATAGGTGTAAGATACATAAAACTACCTCAACACCCTATTTAAATATTAGGCACTGCTACTTTCTACTTTGACTGAGGAAAACCAAAACTGGGGTCAATGACGTTTTCATTGGATTCAGATGTTGTTGTTGTAAAATGCGCAGTGAAAGACATAATGAAGAAAATAATGGGTTCGTTTTGTTTGTTTGAAGTTAAGTACCAAGATACACAATGGGCTATCCGTGCTCTGTGAACCACGGGTATCAAAACCCGGTTTCTAGCATTGTAAGTCCGCAGACATGCCGCTGTGCCACTGGGGGGCGAAGGGGTTCGTACACATGCTGCTCACTCATTTACGGCGGGAACGAATGTTGATTTGGTTTGAGTGAAAAATATTACTTCCAAAGATTCGTGAATGATCGTCCAAGATCTTTAATGTTGTGAATTGAGTGATCTGAGTTGTATGATATCTATAGAGACATCGTATTATTTATAGGTATATTTTTTCTTTCAATGACACACACATATATACATGTATATTCTTTATGTATCTTATATTTTCTATTTGTAATAAATATGACGTATGACACTATACAACACGTGGCAACATTCCACTGCAAATTTGGGTGGCAGCACAATAGCAAATTTTGGGTTGGACTCTCTTTTCCACGCGAAACCTTCAAATACAATGCCCTTTCGAACAGGTTCCTTGACGTCTATGAATATGGGTTTTCCTGGTTCCCAATCACAAGGTTTGGACCATAATTTTTCTCTAGGGTTATCGAAAGTAATCTACACACACACTACACAGTAACTTAAGGATGTAGTAACTCATAAGATGTATGGAAATTTTGAGAACACAATTCCCAGTGATGTCAAGGAGAACGTATTGATCACATTCACAGTCTATTGAACTGCCTAAATGTTATAGAGTTCTGTGCCAATAATGTGCCAAAGGAGTACCGCTATTCGTTGGTAAAAGAGTAGCCCAAGAGTTGGCGGTGGGTGGTGATGACTAGCTGCCTTCTCTCTAGTCTTACACTGCTAAATTAGGGACGGTTAGCGCGGATAACCCTCGTGTAGCTCTGCGCGAAATTCGAGACAAACAAACAAACAAATCATTATATTTCACACTAAACTATTTGTTTTGAGCTAAGGATATGCGAATTATGAGACTTAGAAACGGAGAAAATCTGTATAACGAGACAAAATTACACAGATTCTTTTTTTTAATATAATTTCCGTGGAAATCTTAGATATATCAAATCTAGAGACAGTGATGGGCAGAGTACAGATAGCCCTTTGTGTAGGTTTTTGTGCTTATCTACAAACTAACAAACACTCAGTAGAAGATTTTGGTGTGAAAGTTTTACATCATTGTGTGTCGGTGTGAAAGTTTTACATCGTTGTATGAGTACAGCTTTGTGCTTTTATTTGTCTTTATTTCACTAGCAATTATAGACGCGTCGGCAAAGTTAACCTTATTTAACAGCTCTCTATTAAAAAAGATAATTGTTTTATGCCCTAGTCTAATACTACAATATAACATATCCGGTTAGCGATAAGATAATGACGTCATGTGCTTGAAATAGTATCGCAAATACGTAAATCACAAAATAAGTCAATAAGCTTTAAGCTTTACACACATTATATTAATCCCGTTGATAAAGGTCAATAATTTAGTCTTTTGTTGGCAAAGGTATCCACTATTTTAGCTTATACTGGAAATAACTGGACCTCATACCTTATATATATCATATGTGGGCAGAACGTACGTGCTGGAAAAGTTGTGATAAGGTAGAAAATGGGAATTCAAATGCGTCAGTTTAGAGGATTCCTCGAGCAACGCTAACATCGTAATTGAGCAGAATTTGGTATTTGGTCTTCAAGTACAGAAAATGAAATATCGTTATTACGCTTACCATATTATAAGTACACGTTAGAAGAGATTAATTGGTAACTTTAGAGATTATATTAATACATAAAAAAACATATATTGCTGTTATTAATAACGGACATCCCCTGAGAAAGTAGTATTCCTATCTGTAGTTATATATGTTTATGACACAATAAAACTGAAGATCATATTTTCCTGGATGACAGTATGATGCATAAACTTATCTGTAATTGTACGAATCCTAACCGTTTCGAAAATAACTGAGATATAGATAAATATCCTCCCCAAAATTTTTTGAAAGTTCAAAGAGCTTCAAAATTGTGCCTCTCTCACACATACACAAGAACAACATGTATCTGTTTGTTTTTGAATTTCACGCAAAGCTACACGAGGGCTATCTGCGCTAGCCGTCCCTAATTTAGCAGTGTAAGACTAGAGGGAAGGCAGCTAGTCATCACCGCTAACTCTTGGGCTAAGTTTCTAAATGTGGTTTTATTTGCAAGCGGCATTACAAAGATACGGGATTGTTTTTTTTTCACCTACATATATGAAGAACACCTAGCTTTGAGTTGCTCTATCCATTTACTTTGGACTGATGTGACGTGTATAACTGTTTACTACATCTTAACAAAGTCTGCACTGTTGATGCTTTTGAACTTCACATCTCGGTAATAGTCTTACTTATTTTCTATGTAATGCGAAGGCTGAGTTGCGTAGCAACGTAAAGTGGGTGGGCTTAATCCTGTTAGTGCAGATAAAGCACTGTGCGGACGTAACTGTGTATTTAGCGAGTTGCGTTTTTGTACGCCAGTATTGCAACTGATGAAAATGAAAAAAATTTCAGCATTTGTTACACATTTTGTATGTATGTGAAACGATATAATTAATATATATTAAGAAGCCTTTATCTTGTTATACATTGTTTCGAATAGCCGTTAAGTACTGCTTAACAAAGCAATGTCTATAACATTTATCCTCTAAGGGGTATAAATTATAATGTTATCATAAGGAGGTTAATCGCACGTTATAAGAACGAGGTTCCAGGTCCCATGCTACCCATAAAACGTTTTCTTTATCATCAATCATACCCAAGATGAAGGTAATGATTATGTATTTTAGCCCGTCACCACAACTTCTACTGAGACAATTTCCTGTGGGATAAGTTTTAATCGACACATGTTAAAAACATGTACACAGAAGTCGACTTCCAAGATCACATATAAATTGAACGAAGACACAAGTATTCGTTTCATTTGGACAGAGAGGAGCTTGACAGCTACGTGGTTGAATGGGACTGCTTCGGTTCTAGTTTCCTTGGCCACGTATCTTATGAAAACAGTCCATGATTTAAGGGTTTGGCTGGAAGATTTTGTAGTGTTGGCTTGTAATCATTGGTCAGATTCAAATCTTTGTTTACTATATTGTTAACGGTACCAGTTTCATTACAGTGTTGGCTTGTAATCATTTGTCAGATTCAAATCTTTGTTTACTATATTGTTAACGGTACCAGTTTCATTACAGTGTTGGCTTGTATCATTCGTCAGATTCAAATCTTTGTTTACTATATTGTTAACGGTACCAGCTTCATTACAGTGTTGGCTTGTATCATTCGTCAGATTCAAATCTTTGTTTACTATATTGTTAACAGTACCAGCTTCATTACAGTGTTGGCTTGTATCATTCGTCAGATTCAAATCTTTGTTTACTATATTGTTAACGGTACCAATTTCATTACAGTGGCGTCGGATTGCTCTCCTTTGTAACTCTGAGAATGAAAATGTTGCTCTGAGTTGACTTCAAATGTGGCTTCAGATCCCTTACTATTCCAAACAATCTACTGTGCGATGTTTTTTACTTCTATTGAGAATATTAAAGGTTTCTTTTCTGTAACGTTGTGTCCTTTGGTTTTCATAGTTTAACAATCTCACTACACAAATGTTTTCCATCAGAAACATCCGTATTAGCCTCCACCATAAGTCAACCGTGGTGGCATTACACTGTCCAATAGTCAGAAGATCATCGTGAATCACCTTTAGAGGAAAGATACATATACCATGCGGCGTCATATTACTATACAAGTTTATTCTAGTATTTCATATAAAGTACGGTTAAACCACTGTAATGAAATTAATCATCAAACAGGAAAAATGAAAACTTACCAAATAAAAAGAGATGTACATGTTAAAAAAAAGGACCGATAAAATTTTTTTTTAAGTTTAATAGTTAAAGTTTTTATGCGCGGTTTAATTAATTATTCATTGTAAATCTAAGATTATTCAGCTTCAATCTAGTTGTTGTAATAGGAATATTTTTAGGTTTGTTCTAAGTTGACATGAAGGTTCTTCTGGTTTACTTTGTTTGCATGGCCAGGTGGTTAGGGCGCTTGACTCGCAATCTGCGGGTCGCGGGTTCGAGTCCCCGTCATACCAAACATGCTCGCCCTTTCAGCCGTGGGGGCGTTATAATGTGACGGTCAATCCCACTATTCGTTGGTAAAAGAGTGTCCCAAGAGTTGGCGGTGGGTGGTGATGACTAGCTGCCTTCTCTCTAGTCTTACACTGCTAAATTAGGGACGGATAGTGCAGATAGCCCTCGTGTAGCTTTGCGCAACATTCATACAAAAACAAACATTATATGAAGGTTCTTCTTCACGTTGATTTTATTTGTTTTAATGTCAAGATTCTTCCGTTTTTTTATATTTTATATATATACACGAAAACTTACATATTCCTTGTATTAAGACAAGAAAAATTGCTTTGTTACGTGTTTTGTAGTGTTAAAGAACTTAATGAAATTCTTATAGTCTTGAAATGTATTGACTCACCTATTCATATGAAAGTGTTCCACATTTTTTTTTCAGGTTTTAGGTTCCGATAAAGAATTTCACTTTATTCATCGAGCTTTACCACATATTAGGACAAAGCGTAGTATTCCTCACACCAGACAGCTGAAGGCCGATCCTCTGGTAAGTTATGCTTGACCACGAACTTGTAACAAATTTGTACAGTCATTCTTATGGTCATTTCTAACTATAGTCTGAAAGAAAGCCTAATAAATTGCTTTATAATTAGTGTTTTAAAAGCATATAAGTTTTATTTATTACTTTGCAATAATGTACACATTCTAAGTGAGTTTTGATAAAATAATGAAAGGTAAATTTCTAAGAAAGAAACAAAACATCAACAACAACAACACATGAATCGTTAATAATTAAGTAAAGTAGCAGAGAAATAACATAAGTAGGATTTCAATCAATACGCTCACCTCTGACATTTACCAAAGACAAATCGGGAGATGTTCGACATTGGACAAAGTTTCTTTTTATTAAGCTACAAGTAGATATATCTATAGAGATAAATTATAACATTTTTCATATATATATATATATATGTTTCTAGTCTGAGAAGGTTCTGAGTGTTCCCTTGTCAGTTTCATTCGATTATTTCTATTTTTACGTAGCAGGCATCTCTTGCTTAACTTTCCCAACTTCATTATCCATATTTGAATTATCATACAGATGTATGATAATTCAGATATGGATAATGATGTACCGAATGTATTTTTTCTTAAGACATGTGCTGAGGCTAGAAAGTGAATAACTTATAGTAAATATTTTCAAACCTGTTTCAAAATATTCTAAAACCAGTATAAAGCAATATACAATATCAATTTCATATCCACATGTCGGGCAATTAATGTTTTATTTATTTTAAATTACTTGGATTCGGTTTTTGTTACGGAAATACTACTGTAAAATGAGAAGTTATTACATTACTATGGTGAATAGAGCTGATGAAGAAATTCAGTTCAAAATGGAAGAGAATTTTGTGAAGGCCAGTCTGAAGTCAACCATGCAGTTTCAACCTCAATATTGTAGATGTGCTGAGACAAGCTAGGTGTACCTTCCAGTCTTCTTGAAATCTGTTTATTTATTCTAGTGGATAGCCATCTATGGTTGGATCTTACATTAGCACATATTTTATCATTCTAGTAGTGGATGGCGATCTATGGTTGGATCTTACATTAGCACATATTTTATCATTCTAGTAGTGGATGGCCATCTATGGTTGGATCCTAGATTAGCGCATATTTTATCATTCTAGTAGTGGATGGCCATCTATGGTTGGATCCTAGATTAGCGCATATTTTATTATTCTAGTAGAATCCATGATTTTTATGCTTTTCTTTATTGACCATTTAGTATTGTATCCCATGTTAGCATGCGTTTTTTTTTATTCTAATGAACGACCATCTAGCGTTGGATAGTAGTAGGTAAGCGCATATATCTTTATTCTACAGAATGGTCCACTAGCATTGGATCCTAGAAAAGCAGTTGTTTCTGTTTTTTTACTGAATGAACATACAGACTTGAATCATAGATTAGCACGTGTTTCTTTACCCTACCAAATGACTATCTAGAGTTGAATCATAGATTAGCACGTGTTTCTTTACCCTACCAAATGACTATCTAGACTTGAATCATAGATTAGCACGTGTTTCTTTACCCTACCAAATGACTATCTGGAAATTAAAATAAAAAAAACAAGCGCTAATCTATGATTCAACTCCAGATAGTCATTTGGTAGGGTAAAGAAACACGTGCTAATCTATGATTCAAGAACTACTCTGTTTGTTTGTAACCTCATTTTGATAGTTGACCTGATAAAAGTTTTGACTAACCAACCCTTGAATACTGAGTAATATACATATGAAGTAAAAAGGTTGAAGAAGGTCTTGAAATTGAAATCATTTCTTACTACGTTTGATGACAGCCTCCTCTGGAATGTTTAGATAAAGCTACTAATATTGAGAGATTGCAATTTACTGCTCTCCAGAAACCCCCAATTGTTTCAATTTTGTTCTTTGACAGTTATTATCCTTGGCAGAATATACACATATAGACAAGTCAAATGTATTTCGAAACCTGTTTTTGGAATAATGATTTCTTTATCTTTTTCTTGAAGTTTTAAAGATCTAGTTTACAAGGGTAAGCTTTAGTTTGTTATGTATAAGTTAGATGTATTTGTTAGATAAAGAATTTAGATTCTAATGGTAGATGGTCATCAGTTAGGAATAAACACTCGCTTCAAAGGCGACATTAGCGATCATACATCGAAATATTAAAAAAAAAAAGTTCAGCAATATTTTAATATTTTTTGTTAGCTGTATAAAACTGATTCACATGTATTTGTATCTGAAGAACGACAAAGGTATCTTCAACATAAATCTTATAATAGAATGGTTAAAATGGAGCTAACCATTATTCTGAATAACTCGAAACAAATTTGCTGTAACAGATGGAAGTCTAGATTAACACTAAGTCAACTTGAAAGATATGTAAGTATTCTTAGTGAAACATTCGCAGGTCTCCAAATGTGTCAACTAAAACAAGAGTCATCAGATAGATTGCATACCCTCGCCCCGCTGCTCCTTTTCGAGATTGTATGCGTTTATATTGGATAACGTCAAATTTCACTTTCGAAAACTCAGAAAATCCTTCTCAGATCCAGAATGATGAACGATCCGGATCAGTTTTTGTAGTGTGATGAGGAGTCTCACCCTTCATATACCCATGAAATTTGGTACAAATCCGATCACACTTTAAAAGAGTTATTAACCCAAAACCGCGAAAAT